TTACATTGGCAGATATACTATTAAATATTATTTGAAAATGAAAAGTTAAGAGCTTTTTTCAGTATCTGGAGGTTACAAAACAGCTCACAGATAGAGAATTCTCTGAATTAACAGAGACACTGGATCAGTCATCAGTAAGAACAGTATTGTCTTCAACCTGTAGAGAGCTCTGCAGATATTCTTCTAGAAAACAGTTATTACTTAGAAGTTAAGGTAGTCAACTTTGTTAGGAATCAATATTAAAAGTTTTAAACATGCATAATATGCTTTTATGAAAAATACTGTCAATATTAGTATATATATGTATATGTATATGTATATATTTATATAAATATGTCAATATATTTTATATATATTAAAACAGCTATAAACCATAACCATTGTGGAAGTGCACATACAACATTCTGAAAGATTAGGATGCAAATTTCTGAGACTAGAGTAATAGGATCATTTGCCATAAGGACGTTGTTTGCAGAATGTTTACATACCCATAAAAGAGCTGCACCAGACAATGATTTCTTTTCTGAATGTTGATCAGACTTGGAAGCCAAACTGCGGGAACACTCCAGCATGCAGAATGGCCAGGGAACAAAGTTAAGAGTTGGCTATATTGAAATGAAAGATATGTCCAAATTGTGCTGATAGAAAAATAAGAGTATTTATAAAGCTGTTGAGCCTCCTCTCCAGAAGGCTTGTCACATTAGTGGTGGTGGCCTTTATTCTCCAGGGTAGTAGTCAGTTGTCAAGTCAGAGTGAAGCTGCATACAAACAAGGTGGTTCATCCATATGATGCAGTCTACTGGGACAATTTTGCCATAGGTTGCATCTGGACTGTTTTATCTTCTTTCTGTATACCAACCATCCTCTATCATATATTGATTTATATCACACATAATACAAGAAAAATTAAATAATGCTTCCCAGGCAGCACCCTAACCACTGCAGTTAATCATTACCTTCAAACTGAAAATAGTCTGAACTGTTTAGATATAGGACCCCCCAGTTTGTATTATTTATTGGGGAAAAAAAAAAAAAAAACCCACCTCCCAAAATTCTGCTCCTGAACCTGCTAAAGGGTCACTGGGATGTTATCAGTGCCATCAGCAAGATTAATAGCATGAGTGAGAGAAGTGATTCAAATTCATGAATGCTTTAGACAGTGCTGAGTATTTGAAACATCTGCACAGGGCTTGCAGCTACTGGACCTACGAGAGAACTGCACTCTTCAGGAGCAATACCTGGAATGCAGGTGGGATATCCTACTGATCTTTCCTCAGGCTTCTGGCTTTCACCTGATAAACACTGATAACATATTTCCGGTTACAAGAAGAAAAAAAAGAAAAACAGCATTTATGTGCAATATTTTGCATTTCACTTTCCAGGTGAAAAGTATTTAATAACCTCAAAAACAAGTTAATTGTACTAATTTCTATGTATCAGTATAACATAGGCAATTTTAAATTCATCCCACATAGTGCTTTTATTCTTTGATGGATGTTCTGGTATAAGTACCAGAAATGCACAAACATGTGAGATGGCAAGTAATTCTCTAGTTGAATCTACTTTCTTTGGGAGGTTGGACTAGATAACCTCCAGAAATCCCTTCCAAAGTAAATTAAGTGAGTCTATAAAATGTAGATGCAGTTTTTAAAAATACCCTTGTGGAAGAGCCATACAACACAGTACCTTTTCTAATATCACTGGTAAAGAATAACTGAATTCTGAAAATTATAAACTTTGGTGATTAAAAATATCACATTAGGCATTGGTTTTAGTATATTTCATCTTTCACAGCCATTGAACAACAGGTTAAGTTACAAACAGTTATTGTGATATTGGTTTTTCAGTAAAGTACCGTCAAAATAATTGGGAAATTTAAAAAATGGCAGAATGAATTAGCAAATCATTGTTGCCCAAGTGTCAGTTGCTAGACTGTGATAAAACTCTTCCACAGAAGAGTTTTCACCAGAGATGGTGAAGCATGTGGGCGGAACAAGACAGCATCCAACAGAGACATGTTGCATTTTAAATCAGGTTTAATCTCAATTTTATTGTCCCTAGCAAATCTGTGTTTCTGTAACGTGGTTTTTAAAGCAATACAATGACAATCTCCTATATCTGTGGTGTTTGGCCAAAGCATGGACATACCAAGAGGCATCTGAAGTAGAAAACAAAAGGTGTCACTTCCCAAGGCACCTGTAGCCTGATGATTTACAAAATCAGTAACCTCCTGTTCTGCCCTATCACCTTTGTCAGTAAAAGCAAATCTGTCTGTGCTTTCCCCTTTTTCTATGTTCCCTATTTCTATGTTGTCACATACTATAAAGTCATGTTGTCTTGTTGCAACTGCTTATCCATGCATAAGCACATTAAATATTTTTACTACATAAATATGAGAAGTTTTTTTGAAAAATACGTATAACAAATCAGTCATTATTCTGAGTAACCCAAAGGAAAAATGGTTGTTCACTTATGGACGGCAATTTAATTCAGGAATAGTAACAAATAGGCTACATATTTTGGAAAAAAAAAAAAACAACAAAACAATACCAAGCCACTGTAAAATATGGTCACAGTTCAGTCAGAATAAAAAAAATATTAATTTTCTGCCCAAATTCCTTTAAATTCATTGGGAATTTTAAGATTCAATTTGCAAATGCAGAAAGAAATAGATATTAACTTTACTGAATTTGAAACAGTCGCTATTTAATCATCCAGATTAAGTCTGTAACTACCAGTTGCTAATGGAGACAAGCACCTCAAAACCCGAAAGCATATCAAAAAACCCCCTCACCTCACATACCTCACACCTCTGTGGGGGAATACAACAAAATACCTTACAGAGGTTCCCTCTCTCTCTCTTTTCCCATATTTAATTACTGAATTTTCTTGTCCTATCATGTTAATTGGACTAATTGATAAGTCACCTTCATTATTAAATGTGACTTTAATAGCTACCTTACCTTTCACAATTCTAAACCAGTAGCTCTATCTTGTTGATTGAAAACACCGAACTTGAATGTAGAATGAAAAAAATACAGAACTCTTGTACCAGTTTCTTCTTCTCCATTACAGTCCCTCTTTTCATGATTTTAAATACCCTAGAGATATTTTCACAAGCTAAAATAAGGGATTAAAGCAATTCCTCTTGTCAGTTTTCTACCTTTAACATGTCTAGTTTTCTTATGTGAGGTTTCTATTTGTTTAAAGCTACCTATCTGAAATGGAAGCCACCCACAGAATTTTTTCCAAGAAAATTAGATATTTGCAATATAATACTTATACTGTAGTTCCATTCCTCCATCATACACACTACATCTAGCTTCATTGGTCTGAACAAGCAGAGGCATGCACATAATTAATTCCATGAGGGACAGCTTATTCATATATTTGCACACACAACCCTTGCTCTTTGTATATCAGTTACACATAATTTACAATGACTATTTCTGCTAACTCGAGTACTCAGCGTAAATTAAATTCTAAATAAAGCTCCAAGTTTTCAGACATATTTTTGTTGTAGCTTGATCAAACATTTTCTTTTGTCCTACTTGCACATGAGTGCGTGCACACACACACACTGGAAATGGCTTTTTCTATTCTTCAGCTTGTGCTATGCAGTAAAATGGTTATAAAAATAGCAACATGGCAACAGTTGCTTGCACATGTGGATGTCATAAACATTTTGTGTTCCTTTACAGCCAAACTCAATCCAAAGCACTGTCGCAGCAGTGGGCCCAATCCAGGAGCCGGGATGGGAGAAGGGCTCTCAGGCACCAAGGTGATTTGCAAGTTGCTAGGGAGTAATACATGCGGTGTGAATTAGCTGTAAATTAAATGCACAAGTGTTTTCTTTATAAGTGACATGTATTCTGGAGGAATTTATTCACAGAAAGAGTGATTAGACAGTGGAATGGTCTGACCAGGGAGGTGGTGTGCCCTGAAGTTTTTCAAGGAAAGACAAGATGTAGCACTTAGTGCCATGGTCTAGTGGGCATGGTGGGTTTTGCTCATAGGTTGGACTCAGTCATCTCAGAGATCTCTTCCAACCTAATTAATTCTGTGATTCTGTGATATATATACATAGACATAGGATCTGTGCCTAAAAATAAAGAAACCACAGGAATATAGTTTAAAAAAAAATAAATAAAAGCAAGGAAATATGGGTTATGAGCAAATATGATCCAGGAGACAGCCCAGAGGTATCAGAGGTCTCCCCCAGCTCCCCCTACCCACTGCCCTCCGGGGTCTCTCGCTGGCCCACCCAGGACCCCTCCCTGAGTCCTGGCTCCCAGTGTGGGTACCCTCGCTCACCATCGAGCTCCTCCCCAGCACAAAGCCCTGTCTTGATTCACGCCCAGGCTGGGGCTCCCATTTCAGTGTTACACCACTTCTACTGCATCCAGCTCTGGGACCGTCAGCTCAGGAAGGACATTGAGGTGATGGAGCAAGTCCAGAGAAGGGCAAGTGAGATGGGCAGGAGTCTGGAGCACGAATCTTATGAGAAGTGGCTGAGGGAGCTGGGGCTGTTTAGCCTGGAGGAAAGGAGGCTCAGTGGACACTTTATTGCTCTGTACAATTCCCTGAAAGGAAGCTGTAGCCAGGTGGGAGTTGGTCTCTTCTCCCAGGGAACCAGCGACGGGACCAGAGAACAGTGTCAAGCTGTGCCAGAAGAATAAATAATTTCTTCACAAAACGGGCGATTATAGACATTGGAATGAGCTGCCCGGGGAGGTGATGGAGTCACTGTCCCTGGAGATGTTTAAGGAAAGACTACATCTGGCATTCAGTGGCACTATCTAGTTGAGGCAGTGGTGATCAGCCATAGGTTGGACTTGATGATCCCAGAGGTACTTTCTTAAACTAATTCAGTGATTCTAGGTGCGTGCTGGGACTCCTGGCCCCAAAAGCCCACGCCAACCCGGCCGGCCCGCCCGGCCCAGCGCAGCTCAGCCGCGTCTCGCGATCCCGCCCCGCAGCCGCCCACAGCGGGCTGCAAGATGGCGGCGGCCGCCGCAGCCGGCGGGCAGGTGAGCGGGCGCGGCCCTTCCTCTCCCCTCGGCCCGCCCTGCCCGCTCCGCTCCCCGCCCCGCCCTGCCCGCACGGCGGCTGCACCGGCGCGGCCCGGCGCGTCCCCCCGGCCTCAGCAGCCTGGGTCTCGGCCTCTCGCTCTGCTTGGCAGCGCCGCCGCACCCCGAGGCGAGGCGCCCTCCGTCCTCCCCCGCCCGACCCCGGGGCGGCAGCGAGCGGCCCGGATCCTCCGAGAGAGCCGGGGCAGCCCTTCCCGTCCTTCCTAGGCAGCGAGTGAGCGTGCCTGAGCCCTGCGGCCGCGCGGTGCTGAGGCGCAGAGCCGGGGCTGGCAGGAACTGGGCTCCAGGGTGGGGAGAGGATGAGATGTCGCATAACGGAGTATGCGAAATCCGAATCTTTGAGCACAGCCTTCCTGACTGTGGAACGCAACCCCTGGGTTGGTGCTCTCTGCCGTAGGTGCGCCTTCCCCATTGTCACGTCGGCACTCCCATCGGTGTGTCCCGTGCTGCCGGGGCCTGACTTGGAGTGTGTCACAGCTGTTTTTCTCCAGAGATCGCTTGGTGTTCCTTGGGCAGGCTGTGCACGTGTAGTAACAAAACTGTGGCCCTTTGTGCCAGACCTTTGCCCTTCCCGACATGTGCAGTTGACAGCTGGCCGTGCGTTCTGGGCAAAAGGCACCGTGCCACAGCCGCTGTGGGGAACAAGCGGCCTGCGGGTGCCTGGCTGCCTCTGGCCAGAGAGTGCCACACGTCCCACACCTCCGCAAGTTACTTTGTGAAGGTTTAGCACACCCAGAACACGCTGGAGTGGTTGTGCAGCCAATACAGGCCACTCTCGACATGCCTGTCAGTGCTTCCAAGCCATTTTGTGCTTGTGAAGTTGTATCAATTTTGTTTTTTAACAATAGTGGTCATAATGATGTTGGGCACAATAACTCATGTATTAAACCCATTTTTTCTGATACGCAGTTTAGTTTTTATCAACCACTAGTAAGAGAGATCCATAATTCTTATGTTAATGGGTTTTGTTGCTTTTGCAAGTTATGACACATCAGGAATATCCTCTGAAAATGAAAATTATGTGTGCATTTTGCAATGTTAAATGTACAAGCAGAGTTTTCTAGATGCATAGTTTTAAAAGGTCATGTGTGTAGTTTTGAAGTAAAGCTGCATAAAATAAAGTTGCAACTGTAATGCAAAGTAAGCAGTTTCCTTGTTCATCACAAGTACTGGGTTAGCTGACCTGACTGAGAAGCTCATTCTCTAGTTAACATATGTTAATTTCACTTCATGCCTACCAACTATGATTTTCCACAGGAAAAGAAAGTTAGTGTAAGTGTAGCCTAATCACCAGACTATTGTTATCAATATAAAATAGAGACTGGAAATTTAATACCTCCTTATCTCTCTTAGACTATGTTACAGTTTACTGTAATAAGGTGCTGTGATACATATATTAATTGTGGTCTGCACATTTAAACGCTGAGTTCACATATGTTACAATGTAATGAATCCATAGTGATGCAGCATATTATACTGACAAATGTACTGTATACTGTCAGGCAATAGAAAAACAGCTGAAGATTTGTGGCTATAAGAGCAATGTGGATGTCGTAGCACTGTATCTGGCTAGACAGTAAGTAAAATGTTTCTTGTTTTGACTTTTACTAAAAGTAGAGCATGCCGTAAATGCAAATCTTTCACAGTGCTTTCTGTATCAGGAACTCTCTGAACATCATTTATATGTGAAGTACCAGTAAATCATATTCTTACATAGTCCATACGTGTTGTGAATGAAGACATGGTAGAGGTACACGGACACACAGCAGCACTGCGCTCACAGCTAACGGCCTCATCCCCAGATACACAATCTGTCTGCAGCAAGCCAGAGTTGCTTGAGGGTCTGTGAGCTCATGGAGTTGTACATGAATTTCTGCCATGGGGAGCAGAGGAGCGAGAGTTGATGGGCTGATCTCTGCCTGTTCTAACAGGCGCGTAAGGCTGGGTGGAAGGAGCATCAAGCAGGCGAATGAAAGAACATGGGACCTGCCCAGTCTAGGAACTGCCAAATTTCTGACCTCCCTGAAGAAATGTGTTGCTGCAATGGCAAAACTCAGTGGTACCACCCTTGAAATTACCTGCATCTGTGCTGCTAAGAACTGAAGGGAGGGCAGGGCAAGATAAAGTGAATACAAGCACAAGAATACTTCTTTTGGGCAGGCAGTACTGATGGGAGAGCTGATCTCCTCTGAGAGCTTAATGAAACAGCTTGAGATGTAGGGCAGATGAGGAGAAGAAGACGTGCTAAGTGAAGGAAGGCAAACTTTCATGAACCTGTGGGTGATCTAGGTTGATAGAGGTGTATGTTGTAGTATGAACACGCTGAGAGGCTGCCATAGAGGGATGGATACATGACAGGACACACTTCAAAGTTCTGGGAAAGCGTGCTTGGAATTTCTGGCCAGGGCACAATTCCAAGTGTTGCATACCTGTCTGCAGCCTCACAACTGCATCCACTGCTCACATGGTTGATAACATATAGAAAAACCAACGTAGTTTAATAATTCAGGGACAAGATTTTCAAGGTCTCTTGGTCCAATGAGTGAAAAAAAAGTCTTAAGGAATTAAGGAATTTCAGTGTTGTCTAGTCTGTTTTTAGTGGAAATTATATGGTCTTGAAAATGTATGTGCTCACTAATATGTTTAAATTCCTTGTCATATCTCCTGATTTACATCAAGAAAGTATTTGATGCTTTGTGAGGTAAAACATACAGTTACTGTCAATTTTCTTAAAATGTGCATTTTAGAAAGAAGAAAAAAGATAAAATTTAAGGGAGAAGTTTCAATAATGAGAAAATTACAAGGGGCATATATACATACTTTCTAAACAATACAATTATTATACCACACATGTGAAGAATTAAGACTGTGTATACAGCCTTAATTGGTGTATTTTCTGGTTTTAAATGCTTAAATGTGTGCCCTCACTGGCTTTCAAGTATTTTTTTGGTATAGAATAAAAAGAAATGCTCACATGGCAGATACATAAGTGATCTGTCTTCCCATTAAACCGTTTTGGTAAAGATGATGCAAGATGGATTCTTTCATGATTGGATAGAAGTGAACTCCTTTTATTCTGTATCAGTTTATATAAACTTGAGCCCCAGCCAAGCTCAGTATCAGATCATGCCTCCTTTAGTGTTGGTTTGACATATTTTTCTGCTAGCTGAAATAAGAAAATGGGAAAAAAAAAATTAAAGTCAATCAAATAAGAGGGAATGAGTTTATATTTTTAAACACTGCTGTTAAAGGGACATGAAACAATGTATTTTGGACACTAAAAGCTGTCATCCCAGGAAAACTGATTAACTTAGCAGTAGGTAGAAAAAGAGTGCTGCAGGCCAAAAAGGATCAGTTTATAAAAGACATACAAAGTCTGGAAGGCATGTAGAAAAGGACAGGCTCTTTTAAAATGTTAGAGGAATTAAGCTCTACCTGGGGCAAATTAAATGCCTTAATATGAAAAAAAAAAAAAAAAAAAAAAAAAAGCAAAGCAGCAAACCAAAACAAAAAAACCAACAGATTGAGGCTTGGAGATAGTAAAGATGAGGCTGTTACTAGACAGGGAATAAAGCAAATGAAATGTAAAGCTGTAATCTAGTTATAGAGTGGCAGTGACCAAGAATATAAGAAATTTTGGCTTTGCTACCTGAAATGTAGTTCAGGGATGCACAGGAGCATTAGATACGAGCTCTGTAGGAGCTCTGTATGTCCTGTCAACAGCCATCTGCTTGCCCCTGCTACTTGCAGTAATGTCTTTTTCTGTTACTTGTGACAGTAGACACATTAAGTATGTATTTGCAGGGTTAGTTTTTATGGTTTATCTGAGGAAGCCAAAGAAACAGTTTAAGGTAACAACATGAGAGGATAATCTGATTTTCAGTTAATACAAGGGACTAAAAGTACAGTGCCTCATCTTTGTAGGGTTTGCTCTTGACAGACTTTTCATTTGCAAAAGCAAGATGAGAAAAGGCACCCACCCTCCCTTTGTCTGTACCTGGAGGGTGTGTTGGAAAAAAAACAACCCAGCAAATAAAAAGACAACATGGAAAGATAGAGACCAGACTTCACAGCTGGAAAACAAACATGCCTTTAGCCTGATGATGTGAGGTTAATTTTTATCAGTCCTGTTACCTTCTGAAACATTGGCCTTCATCTTGCAACACATTAAAATCCACAAGAAAATTTTTATTATGGCAATTAAAGATTGTCAGATAAAAGTCATCTATAATTTTTCTAGAGGAAATTAAGAACATTTATTTATAGCAATGAAAATAAAGATGAACAGTTAGTTAAAATCACTTGGCAGCTTACTAATATTTTCTCGTCGTAGGTAATTTTTTATTTATAGTACACTAGCAAGCTCAAAGTGCTAGATACAAAATTAAACATAAAACCATACTAGCACGTGGGAGATCATTTCAGCCTCAGTGGATGTACTAAGTTTCTATGAGAATAGGGCAGGAATGGAAAAAAGGCAAAATTTCACAATATACACTAATATGAAAAAGAATAAAAAATGCACATTGACGTGCTTTGTGTTTGTCTTCTGCTGGCTTCTCTGGCACTGTGGCTGGACAATCCCCGCTGCACCTTCAAAGCAGTTTTGCTTTTAGCTTCATGTCCCCAGGGTGCCAAACTTCTCCTCCTGTGTTCTGAGCAGGATTTCTACAAAGTGCAAAGTACATGTGACTCAGACTCATAACTCATGCTGTTATGGAAAAGCAATTAATGTATCACTTATTTTGTTCCTGTTTCTTTACCACCTGCTGCCTTGTTATGTTTGCAGGTGTGCAGAGTGCTTACACTGTCTGCTTACACCTTCTCTTTGTGTCTTTCTCTACTATAAATTCTAACGAAGTGTGCCTTTCTGATTTTTGTCTGATATTATTTATGGAAAAGAAAATGTTTATCAAATTAGTGAGCACAATGTTAAGAAATTTGTTACTCTTTTTTTTTCTTCCATCAGAGGACTAAAAAGTATCCCAAGTCTATCACAGTTTCACAGATTAAGGTATTTGTGGATTAACAACAATAAGGTAATTAGTTATTCCTTTAAAAAGCAGAACAATTCATCTATACTCCCTGATTATTATTTTGTGGTCTTTTCTAGCATAAAATATTATATATATTGTCAAACAAATAAATTATTTTTAATTTTCAGGCTAATTTAACTGTCAAATATAACAGATTTGAAGAAAACTTTTATTTTACAACACAGTGTTGTATAAGCTAATGTATATATAGTATATGTAATGTATATATAAAGTATATATAATATATAGTGTAATATAAGCTAATGTATTTTCCTTTAGATTCACATCACATTTGTAAATCTTGTTTATTTAAGGAGCTGAAGTTTTGTGCTAGTTCCTGAGCTCCCAGTGTAATTAGAGCAGGCAGTTCTTGGAACAGACTGAGGGGTGATGTGGCTATAGGCTATAGCCATCCATTTCCTGTGGATTGCAGGAAATGCATGGCTCTTCTTTTATATACTGGCAGACATGCATAGTTTATTTCCTGGCAGGCTGGTGGTTGAGGTGAGGCTCCTTTTTGATGTCATGCACACAAGAGTGACATAAAACTCTGTGGAATGAGCTTCTCCCTGTGCACAGGAAGCAGCACTGCAGGTCTAGGGATGACAGGGTATAACTTTTACTGTACAGTAGTTTACATGACTTCCACAGTGAGCCCAAATTCTTCCATCTCCAGAATTGCTTGCTCAGGTAAATAAGTAGATCTGCGAGCAGCAGAAAAAATAAATTTGCATTCCATGTCACTTCAGAGCACATGTATATCTTCTGCCCCAGGCTAGCATCAGTTATATGGCATCTTATGTCCAATTAATCTAAAAATCTCTACTATCTATTTTTGGAAAGAGCAAATATATAGATATTATTAAAATGTTAACCTAAAATCACAGATATAACAGGGCTTTTCCTTGTATAGTGAAAGGACATAAAAGGAAACAAAGAAATGGCCTGATGACTAAGCAGAACTGATCTTGCTGATGAAAGAAGATAAATAAATTGGAGTTTTGCACAACTCTCACTTTTTCTACCTAAGCAGTAACAAAGAACATTCTTTTGTTGTTCTATATAACTTATGTGGAGAAGTCACACAGTGGCTTTTCATAGGAAAAGTATCACTGAAATGCCTCAATAGGAGCAGCATATTTTTCTGTACTCAATAATTTTATCAGAAAGAAAGCAAACTTCAGATGATTCTGAAAACAAAACTTGCCCAAAATAGGGAAAACCGTTGTACAAGAGAGTGGAAAAACTTCTGTCTTAGGCTCTTTCTTCCAGGTTTTAGGTACTGTTAATACACAGAGCAAAGCACGTTTATTTCAGAGTCAGTGGCAAAATTCAAGGACTGAAATAATTCCTTTCCTAACAAATTACTTTTCATCACAGAATTTACAGTCAGGAATAAAATTTTGTTTGTTGCTAGGATAAAAACTTCAGCACCATTAGTAGTCTCAGTTCTCAGAGATTATAAAGGTCAGCTTGCTGTCCCACTGCAGATACTTCACCTTCCACTGGAGTCAAAATGAGTCTATAACTCTTAATTGATTCTCTAAATATGATTAGATTACATTTCTGGGTGTTTTGGAATTGAGCTTCTCCAAAGAAGGAGGTGTGATTCCATAGGGACTCTTTATTGGGAATACACCCATATTCATACTGATTTTTTTTCTATAATTCTTAATTGATTCTCTAAATATGATTAGATTACATTTCTGGTAAATAAGAATAAATTTGTGCTCTTTGAACCTGCTGGTGAAAAAACAATTTAAAAACAAAATGCTGGGTTTATTCAAATGATATATTTCAGGAATATTCTTAAACCAACATAAAATTGTTATGCTCTAAAAGGGTCTTCTAACAATAAAAATTATTTCAAATATGAATAGAAGGAAGAGAAAATGTGGAGATCAGTCATTTAAAGAACTCTATTTCCAAATACAAACATTAAATGTGTAGTTCAAAAAATTAGGTAAGGCTCTACTGCTTGTTTTGATTTGTAATTAGTACTTCTAATGAAGGTTCAGTTGTCAAAAGAATCCTTAAACCAAGAGTCTTAAACAGAAATTTAAGAAACTACCTGTGGTTAAACAAAGGCCACGTTTATAATTCTCCAACACCACATTCAGAGTGACACATAACAGTTTGCCTAACTCTAATTTCAGATCCAGGATTTAACCTTCTTGATCAAAAACTATTACTTGACTGAACTCTATCTCAACAATAACGAGCTGACAGATATATCAGGTACCAATCTTCCCTTTTTAAGTTGTTGAGCAGAGGCCTATACTTTATTTTTTCTGTATTGGCATTCAAAGTTATAAAACTGGATTACAGCAAGTAACTTATTGGCTGAAAGCTCCTATGTACGTATAATTAATGCATGCTAATTATTAGATATTTAATTTTTCCAACATACTTGAGTGACAGTTAGGTGATGTGTTTATTCTGGTTTAAAGGATAAAGTGTCATTCACTTTATGTCAGGCAATTGTGAAATACTTTTGATCTTACGTGACCATATTTAATATTGAGAATTTATAATCAGAGGTATTTCGCAAAGTTACTGCCAAACTTGATTTATTTTAAAAATCTGTCTTACACTTCTATTTTAGTTTTGCTTGTCCTTGTAGATTAAAATTACCAGACTTGTAAATTTGTGAATGAACAGGCCAGAGCATCTAAACATTTTAGACATTTTAAATGTTAATTTTTTTTTCTGTCCCTGTAAAATGCTGGATGAGACATGATGTTGATTCATTTCTGTGAGATTTCAAGCAAACTTTATCTCTGAAAAACATAAACATGGATACAAGAGACAATACAGATGATAACAAAATATGGATAAACAGAAGGGTATATCATTAGTAGAGAAATAAAATACTGTATATGATTTGGAAAACGAGATATCTAATCTTGATGTGTGAGGATGTGAACACAGTCTGGGTCAAAACAATATTTTGTAATAGCTTTTTAATACATCAGTAATTACTTGAAACAGAACTATTTTCCAAGGAATGCACTATTTAATACTTGTGAGACAAAAGTAGTATTAGGGATATACTATTGTTTCTGAGGCAAAGGTAATATTAGATCAAGCTAAAAGGAAGTGAATTAACCAAAGATTATAGGGATATAGGAGAAATGAAGGGAGGTAGAAGAGAGGTTGTAGTTGAGGCTGATTTGTTAATGCAAGGGTGATGTGAACAAATGGAAAAAATTGGAATGAAAAAAAGGCTTGTGCTAAAAGGATGTGACTAGAGAGGTGAAAAGGATATTGAAATATCTTTAATTATTGCTTAATTAACATCTCATGCAATGTGTTACCAAAAGACAGGCATAAATAGATAACTAAAATACCAAGTTCAGTGTACAGCATAGCAAAATAATGTTCTAATAAAGGCAGCTATGGTGAGAATGATTAATTATTTTTCATTTTATTTCAGGTGCTCTGAAACACCTATGTTCATTACAGATTCTGTTTCTTCATAACAACGAGCTAAAAAAACTTGGCAAAACAGTGAAGGAATTGAAAGGAATGATAAGCTTGCAGACTCTAAGTAATACCTTATTTTTATTTTGCAGAACAACATGTAGTAGCTTTTTAGTTTCCTATCAGGATGTTTCTTGACTATTTCCGCGTCATTTGCCAATAGCTTTTGAAGCTAATTAGCAATTTCAGCCAAATTTGACAGAAGAAAGAGATCTCTAAGACATGAAAATTCCACAAAGAGTACCTCAAATGAGGAAAAACTGCTAAGTGACTTCAGAAGTTAACTTTTTGGCTGCTGGCTGCCAGTAGCTTGGATGAATAGCTTGGAGGGTGTCTAAGCAGTTTACAGCTGCCTCTCTGTAGTGGAACACAGGAGTAGGGTGAGATTATCATAGAGGTGAAAGGAGTTGAAAAATGGGTGTTACTGCTGTTGAGACTGTGAGTGATAGGTTATAGGGCCCAAATTCTTGCCTCATTAATTCTCTTTCTTATAGAACTTCCTTTCTACATCTTTTTGGCAGACTGGATTTCTAGAGTCTAAGAATACATGTACTTTAGGTATTATCCATAACAATGTCTGTTAGGGAGCATATTTTCTGATACACTGGCTGAAAATGAAAATTGCACCATCTCTGAAATTTCAAATTAAATTATACAAGACAGTGTTGGTGCCACGAAGTTACAATATAAGGAGGTAGGATTATATGCTATTAAGATATTGAGAATATAAATATAAGCAGTCTTTTTCCATGATTCCTAAAGGAATGTCAACACAGGTCATGCCAAATGCTTACTACTTGGAGAAGACAGTAAACAAGTTTCGTGCCGTGGTGACATGGTTAAGGAGGTGAATGTCAGAATGTCACCAGGCCATAACACCTCCTTAAGCATTCAGAAAACTGAATGTCTGATTGTGGGAAAGGAAAATATGAACAAAAAATTAAAATTTTAATTCAACTTGACCCTGAACCAAAATTAAGAAAAACAAATCAAGTGTTCAGGAAGACAACATGCCAGCCAAACTACTGAAGGTCTTTCATTACATGCAAGATAGAAAACTTAATCCATTTAAGAATGCAGTTGTTTGAAGTGATTAGGCAGCGTCTGGAGAGACATCCTATGTATGAATGGTGCAGTCACTTGAATTTAATGTTTGCTCTACAAATTAATAAGGAGCTTCAACAAGCACAGGAAGTTTGTTGTACTTGTTGCAACCATCTGTGGGAAATACATGGCAGATAGTTAAAGTGCTGCTGAGTTATTATAAATGGCAGTTACAAAGGCACAGTGAAAATTGTATGCAAATTGGACCAGCCACCACCATAGAAAAGGAAGTGTTTGAAAGAACAACCAAACAATATATATAATACACTGATCTACCCTAATTAAAAAAAAATGTTGTTTAGTTCAAATATTTTTACAAGAATAAACAGTAATCAGTGGAAGAAGCTTAACAACCTTAATAACCAAAACTTTAGAGTCATTGCTTCATGACCTTTGCAGTCATGAAAAAAATTGTCAATGTGTTTGCTTCAAGGGAATTTTGTAATAATGAATTCTTAAATTAACAGGTCTCTATTAGTTTAATAAAATGCCCTGTCATATTTGAAGTAAATTAAATCAGTAAATGAACAAAATAAATTTTAAAAGTCATATCCTATATCGTATTACTGTATAATTTATCTACCTTCTTGCAATATTAATAAATATTAAATGGGTGCAGAATTTGCACTGTGTAGCTTTGCAAAGGGCTGTGCCCATAACTCGCTTTTATAAAACAAAACCAGTGAGACTTCTCACTGTTATGAGGTAGATCTTTTTTATTGCCAATCTGATTTAATAAAACAAAAAAAGTCACTTGCCAGCCTTCAACAGAGCTTCTGGATGCTTAACAACATTTTATTATTTTGTAGCTCTTGGGGACAATAGAACTATTAAAACACAGTATTATTGTTTGCTTCAGAAGTAGCTTCCAGCTGCCAAAATGTTGCATTTCTCTTCCTGAAGGCTCTCTCGTGATTTTAGCCACTGCCCTGCGCTGGATATGTAGCATAACAACCATCCTTCATCAGGTGTCTAGGGAAGACACTCAGCTTCAAAAGATTTACTGCACATGCTGCCTACAACTGCAGCCTTTTGGGAGATTCAGAGTGCTTCTTTATGGGCTCACCCTGTGCTCACATCTCCCTTTTGGAATCCAAGATTTTTGTTACACACTCTGTAGATTGCCTCAACTGATTTATTGTCCACAGCTGATAACATCCTGCTGCTAGACCTCAGAAAACTCTCTTGTTCACTATGTTTCTGCCCCATGTGGCGGAGGCACACTGTTTTCCTACACTCCAAATAGAGAAAACAGACAAAACTGTGGAGGAAGAAAGCATTATCCTAATTTGTACAACTAAAATTGCATGACCTTGACAAGAAAGTAGATAGCTCAGCCAGGAATTGATCCCAGATGTTTTGTAAAACAAAACCACATTGATCTGTACCATGGCTGAATTTATTGTAAAAATGAGTAGTAGAAAAGTGCACATTCTCTAAAACAAACCTACAAATCAGTGTTGTTGAGCAGGGACATAGTGCAAGCAGCGCCCAGATTCACAAGTTTAATATCAGACCTGTTTTATGCCTTGGAAAAATCTCTCTTGAATCTTTATTCTATTCCACTACCAAACATACCTGCTTTTAGAGATCTTTCTGAAACATTTTTCTCTTTGGAGTGCTGTAGTATATTTTCTTGACTCAAGAACAGACTTATCAGATACATACATAATATTCTTTCTGATTACCACTTTCTAGGAAAAAAATTCATTCAGTTAAAATAGAACTTTCTTTTGCTGCCACCTTGTGGGTGTCTTACTAATTTTAAGTACAGCAATTAAAAAAATTGTTAAAGAATTAAAATAAAAAATTCTCCTCTGAATACATGAACAGGTGTTTTCTATGAAGGAGAGTGCAAATGCTCATTCCAGCCTTGTTGTATCTTCAAAATACCTGCTAAATCCCAAGCATTAAGCCCTCTGAGCAGTCCCGAAAAACATGAAATTGCATCTTGTAGTTTATAAATCTGTGTGGAATTTTTTCTGACTTTTTTCTTCTACTACCTCTTACTTGCTTCTGTAATACCATCTTCCTCTCCCTAACTGCTAAAATGACGTAAGTTTTTTACCCTAGAGCAAGTATTAGCCACAGCCTCTCCTCAGAAAAATAGATGACTGTAGACTGTAGCAGTAGTTGTAAAAATGATTTTTTTTCCCCTGCTCTCATGTCACGGTGACAGCCTCCTGATTATTTTTACTGTCTTAGAAGAACAGCATCTGTATAAGGAGATAAAAAGCATTATTATGTTTTTTTATTTAGAAAAGAGGTCTGACCCCACTCGCTTGTTTATTAGCTCATCTGTGAACGAGCCAGTTTCTATTTTACTCAGCTCAGATATCACTGTCACTAAACAAACTGATTTGGCACGTGAGCTAGGCTAATGTTCCACACCTGGCAAAGCGGCAGCACAGGGCTGATACCTCTCTCTGTGTTGCAAAGGTTTGGTTAGGCAGGTAATGTGAACCTGAACATAAACCTTTTAGCCAACTTGCTAATGAGCTTTTGGATCTTGGTATCTCCAGCCTTGAGGAAAGCAACTGGAACCCAGGTTCTTAGGAATTTAAGCCCTCTGAAACATTATTCTACCTTTCTGGAGTTTTCAAACTAATCATCTGTCAAAATATCAGAAGGCTGTGTATTTGCATTTTATATTGTATCTGTGAGAAACAGCCTCGTATCAGCTCTGATAAAGTCTTAGGTGTCCTAAAGCTCATCTGATATTAATAACTCCATCCTCCTACAAATTTTGTGTCTTACATTTAAGCTGTCACACCTAAAAGACCATTGCTATTTAAAATAGGGATTACCTAGCAGTACGTAAGAAAATCAAAGGCAAACACTTCAGTGTTTTTTGCTGTAAGGTTTGGAGTGCATGATGACACCTTTACTCAGACCTTGCCTGTGGTATTTTGCATATTCTGCAGTAAGCCAGTTCCTGCAGTCCATGTTTAGATGAGTAATTTCACATGTGTAAAGTGTTTATGCAGCCTAACAATTTGAATTTGATATTTTGTACAAAATCTTTGGCTCCTAGTGACCTTTAATTTTCCTGCCTTGCAAAGTTGTTGTTTTGCTGGGTTTGCTTTTTTGTGACACTGGGGCTTTTTTTTTCTGTATATGTTTTGCAGACCTATTCCAAAACCCTCTGGCATATGATCCAGACTACCGGCTTTATGTGATATACTTCCTTCCTTCAGTTCAGCTCCTTGACAGGAAGTGTAAGGATTGCTTTCCTCTCTCACAAAGCATTGACAGTTGCTTTTGTTTCTAACCAGTTTGGAAACATAGGTGAAATTATCCTATGTGTTCTTTTATATGCATTTCTTGATAGAGAAAGAGGATTAATGAACAAGATACCGGGTTTTTCTAAGATTTATCAAGCAAAAAGAGTTTGCATGGCATAAACACTTTGTCAAATGTTTTTGATTTATTTTTCTTTTTAAATTGTGGTGGTTTTTCTTGTATCTTTGTCTATTTGGGTGAAGATAAAAACATGTGCTTAGGAACATGTACCTACCTCTGTGCATTCAGACCGGTATATTCACATGGGTGAGTGTGCTTACTTAGGTTTGTACATGTTTCTGTACAGTTTAAGTACATGTGTGCACATTTCTTGATAAGGTAAATGCAGAACAAACTTTCAAATATAATAAATATTCAGAAGTTATCAAGAGAACTTTCACAGCTTGTCTGCTGTAAATTCTACAGAAAAAAAAAAAGATTGTCTTAAAAATAGTCAGATTTTGAATCAGTGAATCCATAAACATGCCACAATGTACCCAGAAAATCACCTTTGTTGATTTTTATCTCTGGCATTTGGAGAACTGTGTGACTGACAGGACTGGAAATTACTGGAGAGCACTGAGAAGGTAGCTGATTCCTACCTCAGCTCTGTAAGAAAGTAGTAAGGAAAACTTAGCACCTTCTTGAAAGGGGACTGAGCAAGGCAGATGCAGGACATCTGCAGGTGCTGGGAAGCTGTGCAGCTGTCCTGTAGGAAAGCTGGTGGATGGGCCCCAGCAGGTGCCAGGGGCTGATGAGGAGTTGCTGGACCTGACCAGGTGCCCATTTGCTCACACAGTCATTTTGCACAGGTACCTTCACTCTCCCGAGCACTTGCTCTTGTGTTACACTTGTGCTTAACACATCTGTCAGGCTGTTACTAAAACATCACTTTTCGACTGGGGAGTGATGACTGATGCTTAATGCGCTGAAAAATACGTGTTGCATTTACATGTCTAGAAACACTTCCATAAAACTTCCTGGACTTCATCTCCTAAATACAGTTCTGCTGTAATCAGTCCTGGATTAAGACTTGAGGCAGTAATTTGTATCAAGCTGTATCCTGGACTTTCTATTTAGTGAAATATTTCTCTAATACAATCCAAAGTTTCTTAACCATCTGTAGAACATTACCAGCATAGTCCTGGCTGTCTCCTTCACACAAGACATGTGCTCATGTTCCGCTACCTTCAGGCATGACTACTGCAGTTCCTTCCTAATTGGTCCCCTAGACACCATGACTCCAAAACTTCCCTGAACTGAAAATGCTTCTGCCAGTTACGTGTTCTATAAGTGTAGCTGACTTCTGTTCCATAGCTGAAGTACTAGATTAGTATAAGGTTCATAAAATTGAAGCCACCACCCCCAATTTAACAGCCTCAAACTATTTGTTTAAAAATTGAGTTATTTATTTTGAAGTGCAAAACAGGAAAAATTTAAACTTTTCTTCTGATTGCACTGCTAGGGTTTTCTCTGTAATTGACCAATGGGAATTGAACTGGCCTTAAACCAAGACTTGTTTTTGCTATTCATAAAGACACTTCCAAATCTTTACTTACTTCTGCAGGAGATCTCATTTAAGCAGCACAAAAAATCTTCCTTTCTAGCATCTTCATTTAAAACTTCTGACCCTACTGCACTCAGAAGAAAATACTTTACTGTACAGGGCTTCACCCTAAAGTCTTAGAAAGTATCACTCCATGTTCCCATTTTGAATTGCCATGAAATTGTGTAATTGACATTATTATTGTTAAAAAACTGCACAGAAAATATATTAATCACCTTTTGTATGCTGCCTTTTCAACTGATAGAAATAAAATTTCATTTTTTTTCTATTCCTTTTAACAGTAGTTACACAAAAAGAAAGGGAGTCAGCACTTCATCTCTATAACCCCAAAAGGGCTTGGGTCATGCAGTCAATAGCTTTTGGGAAGAGAGCAGACAGATCCTTGGGGACTGAAGTGGGATCTGGCAGATGCACTCAACCAGCCACAAGACCGATAATGCCCTCAGGTATTTATAATACTCAAAGGAAGGCATACATTTTTAGGTCATTTGGATTAGAAATGTTTTTGTTTTTTTTATTCATCTGATAAAACATTATTGGTTTTAGTAATAGAATATAAATGCATGAAGAACTCAGCTGGTTTGCTTCATTAAGTAGTCGTAGCAGCAGCAAATGAACCCTTCTACTGAAAGTATTGTGGCAGATAAGTTCTAGTCATACCCTGTAATTACAGAATTGTCCTTAAAGATAACTGAAAATTTTTTTGTCAGTATGAGTCTTGTGTTTAGTTTTACTTATATTTAAAACATCTCAATATACTTCTGACTCTCAGTCTCAGCATCATAGAGTTTTGATGCCCTCTAGTGCTTTTACAAGATAATCTCCTGAAGAAAATATTTTCTTCTAGTGTTCTAAATTTTATGTATCTGGTTTTGTAAGCAGATTCCTCTTTATGCTTTCCAAGCTGGGAATATTTTAATGATGTCTTATAACACCATATAAAGCAATTTCTAGAGTTCTTAAAACATTCAGATTTGGAAAGCAGCATGATCCTGGCACAAGAAAGCAGGTGGAACCATAAGACTTGTATCACAATCCAGAACTCTGAAATCCCACACAACCTTGTCAGCTTTTTTGATGTTTTAAAGCTAAAAAAACCACCATTGTTCATAGATAACTGAAACTGTAGCACTTTATATAGTGTAGTTGAAAGTTAAGAAAGTAATCAAATACCTGCAAGTTTTTTTAAATGCATATATCACAATAGTAAAACTGAAAGCACTTAAGTATTTAACAATGATTTTGAAGAGGCTGGGAAAAGGAGGATAGTTTAAGCATATTTAATAATTTGTTTTGCTGATGATTATTAAAGCAGGCAGACAGCTGTCTTTATCTCTACCCTGCAATCATACACATCTACAGTTGTACCATTTTCTGTGAAAGAAAAAAAAGCCTGGATGTATATGTCTACAGGAAATAAAGTACAAAAAACTTAAAACTACCTACACTTAAAACCCAGCAAATACTTGCTTCCATAGTAATTTAATAAAACATTATCTTAAACATTTCAAATCATGTGGTAGTTTTCAATTAATTTGAACAAGCAGTTTAGGATCAGGATAGCAATCAATTCTCAGCTACTCAAATTGCTGTACAGCCATTAATGCCGTAATTTGAACTTTGTCTTATAGGTCATGAATTTGGAAATAACACTAATAAGTAAGTAATGTTTTCAGTGTCTTCTTCCTTTTGCATCTCTGAACCATTTAAGTTCCTCTTCCTATGCCTAAAAAATACCCTAAATAGAGAAAATGTCCAGTAAAAGTGAGCTTTTGAAAGTTTCAGGTCTTTGTTTTCAATATAGCTGCAACTCTACACTAGGTTTGTTGTCTAAAATTTACTATTGAAAGGTATTCCACATTTGGAAATGGGTACATAAAAATGCCATTTATTTGTAAGATCAAACACTGATCACTAGAAAAAGCATGCTCAAAGTATTAGAGCATCAGAATAGCTGTTCTGTATTAAGTCCCAGAAAATGTTCTCCTGACTGGCTGTTCAAAAACACTCTCTGGAAAATATTATGACTTGTAGAATGAAATAGTTTTATTCTGTACATGATGTTGTTTTTATTCTGTTCAGTTTCAAAATCATAGAAATAAATGTAAAACTTTTATCTCTGTGTCTGGATTGAGGCAGGAGAAAGGTTGCATTTTAATGTGATGGCATTTTAGACACAAACTTTGTAAGAGCAGATTTACAAACTTTAGGTATCAGGCTTGGCTTTACTTTCTAGCTTTACACGAGAAGATTTGAAAAAGGCATTGAAGGAAATAATAAGAGCCTACATATAATATCCTTTAACAGTACTCTCAGCACAGTCTTTAAAAACCAAGTTATTTCTTTTGAAAAATTAAGTCTTACCTGCCTTCAGTGCAGTTAGCTGTCCTCATTGCTAGAATGGACGTACAGCTGCCTGGAGTCTTATTTATGGACCTGCTGAGGCTTTGCAAGGTGTCTTTTCATGACAAAGTGCATGATACTCAGTGGAGACAGTCCTGTGGCTTATATGAGGTGTGTTACTACAGGGACATCTTTTAGAAATAAGTTCTTATAAAATAAAGTTTTAATATTGTATGTGAGTTGGAAGGTTTTGGTTCCTTGTCAGTGCTGCTTTGATGGTGTGAATCTGCTGCTTTTCTCTCCCAGACTGCAGCTGTGGCAGGATACATGAACACAAGCTCACAGTGATCTGGATTCAGAGCTTGGAGAATGGATATTGGCCTGTGGGCTAGTTAAGAGATCCACAGTGAAATAAATGTGCATTTCCATTAATGGGTACCAAGTCACTTGAATCATGTCCATTGAATCAGAGCATTAAAAGTATACAATGACAACTTTTGTGGGGGAAAAAAAGCGAAAACAAAGAAACATTTTTAAGTCTATTATAAATGTTTTTTAAATAATTTAGAGCATGATTTTTTCAAATAGAATGCCATGACTGACCTTTTTTCATTTTGTTCTGCTTTCTTAAATTTGGTAGAAGAAAGCCTTCTGAAAATTTAAAATTTTTAAATCCTTGCTCTTTATAGTGTCATCATGACTGCTACTTTCATTTTCCAGAGTGTGTGTGTAAATTAGTTCTGAAGTGGTTTGGAAATGGTCAGGAAATGGACTTGCTTTGTTCTTTTTGCAGAGTACCATTTGAGGACCCTGAAGATGCAGTTTTAGTACGGGCAACCGCAAGATCTCTAATGGAATTTTCCTCTGTGGACTGGAACAAAGTAGCCACCTGTCAAGAAAGACGGCTTCAAAACAAAGCAGGAGAGCCCTTTGAGAAGCTGACAGTCCAGTTTAGATGAAAAAACTCCTATTTCTCTCTCTAATGTTAACTCCATAAGTAGGTTAACAGCTCAATAAAAACATTAAGTGAATTTCCAGAAAAAACATGTTAGTGTAACGTTTCTTTCACCATATGTTGTATAGAGAGTGAAGGAGTTAAGATAACAAATGATAAATAGTGGCAATGTTAGAATAAAAGTTGCTTGAAATGGAACCCTTACCATAATTTTGTTATCCGAAAGTACTAAACTGCACACTAATTTTTAGGAAACTAAGGATAAATACTTTTATTTCTTATAATACACTTCCTCACATATTTCTCCTTCCATTCTGTCAAGGCTTAAAGTCAATGCTGCTTTCTAAATATTTCAAAGCCCTTTCAGGTTGTAGCTTGTCTGCTGAGTTCCTTCCTTCTCTCCTAAGTTAGCACAGAGCCACAGGATGGTCTCTGTTGGCAGGGATCTCTGGAGCTTATCTAGTCCAACCTTCCTGTTGGAAGCAGGGTGGAGATGAGGTTGTCTGGTGGCCTGTCAGGGAATCACAGATTTCCAATGAGCAAGGCACCACCACTGGGAGAATGAAAGCAGGATTGGTGCTGGGTATTTTAGCACACTTCCAAAACCCTGACTCTTTTGCCCTGAAGGGATGGCATTTTCAGAGAATCCCTGAAGAGCAGCACACCCCTGTGAGCGGAACCGGGAGGCAGCAGCACTTCTGCATTCCCAGACCTCAGAGTGGAGGGTGACTACAGCATGACTACAGATCTGAGTTCCAGGCAGGCATTTCTTGCCTGCCAATTGTCATGAAGTTAAATTTGTACACTCAAGCTACAGGAGTCCCCTGCATGTCACACGAGAATGTCACAATGTCACAGACGCAGGAAACACAATTGCCACATAGCCCCTTTCTTTTAAAAAAATTCCCTTTATTCTTCACAATCTACTAATCCTTGAAATTAAAACACAGGTACATTCCCTGCACAGGTGGATTTATGTATCCTCACTCTTACAGTTTTGAGAATATTAAACAAAAACTTTCCACATATTAAATAGTAAAAAAATTAATAGTGTTCTCTCTGTTTCGAGGATGGTCCTTACTCCTCTGCCTTGTTTAAAACACCACTGATTCAGCTGACAATAAGACAGTCTCCAATTCTGCCATCCTTATGCAGCAAGTGATATTTTCAGTTGTGGCATTCCCATTGATTTCATGAGACACAGAAATAAATCTGAGTGAAAAACAAAGTTGAGGGAAGCCGTTTTCTGGATCTGGTATTTAGTTGAAAGCCGAAGTGAAATCACAGTTGTATCAATGCACACATGAACTTTCTCATCTAATTGACTGTGACCACTTCAGCATGAAAAATACTAAGCATTTTTTGTTTATGAAATAATTCATAAGCAACATCCCACTGTGCTCTACGGCATCTTTACCTGAAAAATTCAGAATGCATTATTCTTGTCAGTCAAAATATTTTGAGTCATTCTGGTCTTCCCTTCATTAGACTTTTGAATATTTCTGACCAAACCAATAGTGAAATACACATTTCACCATCAGCTTGAGACACCTGAAACAGCAGTTTAATTTACTACAGTTGCCACAAAATAGACATTATTTTTGTGCTCTCACTAGTCAAAAATATTTACAGTAATGTCATGTAAAACTGAGAGTTCAGATGAGTATCTTCAGAAACTTAATTGCTGCTGAATTCCTTCAGGTAAAGCTTCATAAAGTGCTGAAAAAAAAAGCAATTTAACAGTTGGCCTTTCAGTGCTTTTAACAACAGGTCTATGTACTTGCAGGAAAAAAAATTTAAATTACAATTAAAGTAAGTTTTAAGTTTGGAAAACATGAATAATCCAAATCAAATGCTGTTCATTTTTCACTATGTGGTTCATTAACCACAGAAACTCGGAGTTTCACTAGGCTTATTGGTATACATACAGATGGATCTATGCCACTAATTTGTAGCAGATAATAAACACCTATCTTGACAATTTACAACAAAACCTGGAGTATTTACAGACAAAGTAGCCAATATTCTATCTCTTGATGAACAGAGACATTCTGTCTTTTAAAAGAAGTATTGCATAAGCCATGCTCCAAGAACTCAGACATGGTCAGCATAAAAAATTCTTCAGTACCCTTGAGAACTCTCAGTCCCTTCCTACCCTCTTCTTACTCCTCAGAATCTTGAATTTTTTGAAGATCAATGTCATCTAAGGCAGTTTCACTCTCCAGTGGACTGTCAGGTTGCAGGGCTAGTGCCTCCATCTCTTTGGTAAATTCAGGTTCTTCTGTTCCATCAGTAGGATGATTTGGATCCACATTTTTTGTAGGATCTGGACCAGGATCTGACTGTTGTTCACTTGTAGAACTACCCTCTACTAGCTGCATTTCATCTAAACAAAAGAGAAATCACACAATTAATAAACACTGAACTCCTCTGCAAGCAAACATTTTTATTGTTGAAAAACAGTAACACTAGGATACTTTGTATCAATTACAGAAGTGATTTATTTAGAAAATCTTCATTGAAAAAACTCAAAATGCTAAGGCTTTGCTTAAGTTGGTATAAGGTTACACTGGAACTAACTCTAGCTCTCATTAATTTATCTTCCACTTTTGCCAGACTTTTTTTTTTTTAATTATAGAGAGGAGCAGAGTAGGATACTATAGTTATTTTAACTTTCAATTCAAACATGCTTTATTGACACTATTCTTATCACCAGCTTTTCAAAGAGTGGCTGCAAGCCAGTTAAACGCTGAGTACAGGTGGGGTTTGTTTTAAATCAAAAAGCCATGGACACAACTACATAGGAAGCATTTCTGCATAAAATAGACTGAAGAAATTAAGTACTTAAAAACAATGAACTTTGGTTGAAATGAGTCATCCTAAAATTTGTAACTTGACTACATGGAACAGACTAAGCTACTGCACCTTTACTCTTCAAGCACTGTTTTCTAAGAAAAGAGTAGTTGTTAAATAACTTTTTTCACCTGATTCTACTAAGTAGGGCTTGCATGCTAGGACTTCTGAAAAGGAGGGGAAAGCCTAATTGGGAGAAGTAGTTATATCTTGGTTTATTGTTCTCTTGTGATTGATAGCCAGCCAAAACCAGTCCCAGCTAGCAAGCCTCAACCCTGCAAAGCCCTGCCAAGGTCTGAGCTAAGAGCCTTCAGCACAGGCTGAAACGTGGACTTTCTTGACACTCATCCCTGCATAGCAGAAACATTTAAATTCTTGAGTTTGCTTGTAGTTGCAGCTGTTGCATTTGTTTTTTTAATTATTACTTTCCTGATGTACAGGATTTGTAGGGGGCATTACTAACTTTCTGAAACAAAACAGCTGTTGATATGAAATGCTCTGATACAACACCACTCACAAGGTGACCTGAAGCTCAGATGACTTCAGTGTCTTACTAACAGTGCATAATTGGATAAGGTCTGTAATGTACTGGCCGTCTACTTGAATCAGTTAATGAAGATTAACATGTAGATAATGGAGGAGAAACATAAGAAAAAACGTTAGCTTCCCTTTTTAGGCAGGAAGGGAGAAGAGCCATCCACCAAGATCCTGCCTCTCCCTCTGAAAAGGACAGCACATGAGGCATCACCGCTCATGGCTCATTATGTTTTGTTGCACTGGTATGCAATATATCCAGGAATTTCTAACATGCTTGCCTCCAACTTCCACAATCATCCTGATCCCATGCAACAGCAACACTTGTAACAGGATCAACAGAGAAAACTGTCGAAAACTTTAATTATTACTGATTTATTACTGATTTATATCCTGCCATTTTGAGTACAGGAAGTGAACAACATTTGAGTACAGCTGAAGTGAACAACATTACCATTGTAAGGCAACCATGATTTCTGCAGTGCACTTCTACAATCCTTAAAACAAAGGAAGGGAGATCTAGTAAGTTGTAAAAGAGAAAAAGTGATTTCATGCCCTGCTTTCCTATTATTTCACTTGGAGAAACATGAGAAGGGGCAATACAGTGTTTATTAGGTTATTATGTTTTAATTACTTGTTTCTCAAAGGCAGAAAAACACCATGAGCAGTTTAAAGACTACTGCTTGCTTTCCTCACATTCAAAGCACACAACACAATTAACTTGATGCTGTGGTTATGAAGAGAAGTATTATGGGAAATTTAACATCTACATTAACCTCTGCAAGTGGAAGGAGCAGGCTGCTTGCTTATTATCCAACTTGTCTTAGCACCTCCAACAAAACATAGAGCAGCATTCAAGTTCTGCACTAGCTTGATTAAAGATCTGGATTTTGAAACAGTGCAGTGTAAATCAGAATGCTTCCATTGTAGAAATCTGTGTAACTGCATCATTAAAAACCACATTTGGAAAGTATACAGCGTTTGTAAATTTAAAGGCCAGAATCCCAACAAACTCAGCTTTGCTGTTACGTTTCATCAAAGATTTTCTCCCAACCTCAGCTGTTACAGTTTTAAGACCTGTTAAATTGCTCTTTGTGATGCAGTTAACACAGCATTAGTTTCAGCAAGGGAACAACAGATCCTAACCTTTCTTCTGCTTCTTTTCTTGTTTCCTTTTCTCTTTGGCAGCTTCTAGTTCTTGTTTCTCATGAATTTCCTTCAGGATCTTGCAGACTTTTTTGTGGGTAAACCAGTGTATTTTCTGGCAGTTCTGGTCACAGTACATAACCTGAAATTTATCACAGTTACCAATTCATTTTCATGTACTAAAATAATTTCCTTCCATTTCTTAGGGCAGCAAGTTAAATGCCTATGTATAGCACTTAATGTTATTTTTAAGCAATTTTAAAGGTTATATGGAGTGACTCTAACCTATATAAGAATCTATAAAGAGCAGTTTTTTATTAACTCTAAACATACAGAATTTTTGCTCTTTCTTCATTCTTAAGAGTACACACTTGGAAATCCAAGTACTCCTTCCTACTTGTGAATTTCAGGCATCTTTCTCAGAAATACATGTTTGAACGTCTTCAGTGCAGGCATGAATGCCATTCCTTCTAAGTCTACACAGTAAATAGGGAAGCATTCAAAATCCTCAGCACCTCAGTGCAACTATTTTTTTTAATTCTTACCATTTTGCATACTGAGCATCTTTTGTCTGCTCCCTTTCCCCCACAAGTTGTACAGAATTCAGCATCCACAAAACCCACTTGGCCAGTAATCGCTTGTGTAAGCACAGAAAAAGCTGTGGGGTCAGAGCCCTGAAAGACAAGAGGTGGTAATGAGATTAAAAGCCAGCACTGCTGCAGAGAGGGACGCGCAAGGCAAGACCAGAAATGACGAAAAAAGTGCTGGTCTCGCTGAAGCTGCTGCAGCAGTAAAAACATAAAACCAAATCACAGAACTTCAACTAACACGCACAACTTAAGATTTATCTTTAGATAAACTTTTGTATATGAACGCAACTTTAGCCCTGAGCTTCTGTAGTATTTCCTCTGTAAGTTATTAATAACTTCACGTTCTTTACATCTGTAGATCCTATGCAGCAGACTTTTGCAGCTCAGTTTCTGGGCTGGCACACAAAAAAAAATGTTTCATTTGTCACTGTTGTGCTCAGTGCACACAGGTGCTACAGACCAAATGGTCAGAACTTGAAATTTTCAATTATTTGCATTACTATTTAGATGTTATTTGCAGCATCCTTCCCATGCAATGCAAGCAGTAAGGTTTAGGTAACCATACATTAAAACTATTCTTTTGGGCAATGATGGTAATATTTGAAGAAAAAAC